TATATATATATATAATTTTAGTGAAAACAAAGCAAACATGCAAAATGTCTCAAAACAGAATAGCGATGCTGCATGAGCAAATAATTTCAACATAAGTTTCAGGAATTTCCAGATTACAGCCAATTTCTCGTCAAAAGTTGTAATCAGTTTTTCTAGTCTGTTCAATTTAAAAACATTTAACAGAATACACACTTTTAGCCACTTTATTAGATAACTTTTAGATTATACTAAATTAAACAATTTTCTTTATACAATTTCAAAAGAAGAAAAAGATGGTTATACTACTTTCCTTGTAAAATTTAGTTCTGTCTAAAAAATTTATCTTAGATCCAAGAAATTTTAAATTTTTGTAGACCTCTGGACATAATGTGGGTACATAGCTTTAAGTGACCAAAAAATAAATAAATAAACAAGAAATGTGCCCAAATCCCTTAAATGCCTATAACCTTTATAAGAAAAATGTTCAGGCCAATGAATATAGCCAATCATGAATCTATTAATATGGGTTGAAAATGATCTTTAATTCTAGATCAAAATCTTAAGAGCTAAATGTGTTTAATTCTAGTTATATCTAGAGTTTTATATAACAGACTTGAATTCCTTTTGGCAGTATGTCGACAATATATTGCTTCAAAATAGATTGAATTGTGCATTACTTATTACAAATAAATATGAAAGAGTTATGCCAATTGATGCAAGTCTCCAAAATTCAACAAACTTCTGAAAAGTGTAAAAAAAACATAACTAGTAGATTTTTTTTATTTTTTATCTAGAGTCAGATCAAATATAATTTGCTGCATAAATTTCTAGGTACTTAATTATAAATGTTAATTTTATATATATATCACTGATAATTAAACAAACTATATATTATTATCAAGAGTAATTTTTATTCAAAAACTATAGATTTTTACAAATTATCTACTCTTACAACCCTGTAGTGTTTTGGTAAGCTTGTCACCAAAGAAGAAAATTTAACAACTGAATTATAGCAAAAATAAATCAAAAGCAATGTATGAAAAAAGGAACTTTACATAAAATGGTTCAGGGTGCTTTATAGTATAAATCTCTTCAGATGCAAGACGAAAGCAAATTGGAATTTGGCCATCCCATATTTCTCGTAATACTTCTCTGTCCTCAGCCATTACTCTACTTTTAACAAAAGCAAGCAGATAATTTAGTTAAAAAATAGATACTAGAGTAATAACATACAAACTCTTACTATAAGGTAAGAATGACATTGTTAAAATAAAGTATAATAAAATTAGTGGTCTCCCCTAAAGATTTTATATCAGCTAGATTACAGGTGCACAACTTTTTTGAGTGAAGAGCCACTTGCACAGCAGGTAGATTAATGAAGAGCCGCAAGCTTATTTAGTCATGTTAGCGGCAAATATGATAATTTTTTATCTAAACATTAGTGTTCTAAGCACCAAATATTTTTAACTAAACATATTTGCAAAAAATTAAATACTGAAAAATTAAATACTGAATTAAATTTGAATTTATTTAATTTAAACTGATATATATATATAATTGATATATAAATAATATAATATATATTGAGAGAAGGATATAAATTCTAACCACATGGGTGCAAGTTGGAAAAAAGGCCAAGACTGAAATTTTTTTGACTGAAATACCTAACATACACAATACCCCCTCGACATATGCAAAATATCTAAGAAAGCTTTACCATAATACATCAAGTTTAAATACTGTACAAAAAATATTTATTCATCTCCCTTTTGATAAAATAACAACAGGACATAAGAAAGTAGACCAAAAAAATATTTTTAAGTAGTAGAGAGTAGACCTAAAAAATTCTTTTTAAGGACAGAAAAAAAAATTCTGATTTCCGTCTTACTTCCGTCCGCGGACATTTTCGAAAGACGGAAATCCGTCCTGGGGACGGAAGACTTGTACCCATGTCTAACCATAAAGAAGCTTACAGAATAAAAGTGCAAAAAAAAACTTATTTCATAGAGTAATGTAAATTTTAATTTAATATTTTAATAAAAGAAAATTTATAATGTTTCTACAAAAACCAAATTTTTTATTGCTTTCAGAAGTTTCTGCGGGCCGCACATCAACAGTCGGCGGGCCGCGTGTGGCTCGCAGACCATAGGTTGTGCACCCCTAAGCTAGATTTATTTATTGGTGCTACTGTAGGGGTTACTATTTTGTGAACCTTCTAAAAGTTCATCAATCTGTTCAATTGTAATTAAAAATAATAATAAATTAGTTTACGTGATTTGGCAAATTTTTTGTACCAAGTAGCACAGTAAATATTTTAATACACATATAATGCACATAATTTACATATATTAAGATTTTTGACATTAAAATTATAGATTTTCATTAAAATGACAAGAAGAAACAAAAGCAAAGGGTCCGTTAACAGACCCTACACCAAACATCTTTCAATAAAAATGGACCCTTTACAAAATAATTCATCTTTTAATCGGACCATTCACAAATTTGTTTATCTTCATTTATTGTTTTGTTAATCGAATAAACCCTTCCCAGGAAGGGGGGGGGGAAGAAAGACAAACGTAAACAAACTAAGTTTTGATTTCGTCAGACGCTTTTTCCTTTATTCGTCCAAAATGAATATTCTGCATTCAGCATTATAGGCTAAATACCAAATATTTGTATGCTGTATCCCTAATTTAGTAGCAGCAATTGCTATTCATTTTTTAAAATTTAATTTTTTTAATTATAATTTTACAGTGTTGAGCATAATCTTGTACGTCTTTACAATTTAAAAACTCCTTGAAAAAGTTTTTTGCGTTATTTGCACAAATTCACAAAAGCCGGACCCTGGTTGAAAGAATGTGACTTAACGCTTATTTTATATTCACAATATATACAAAAACGGACCTTTCACAAAATGTCTGGACAGACCCCTGAAAAGGTAGAAAATTTCCCTCTTTATTCATCCTTTGGTCACATGGTTTCATTATATGGACAAAAATTATCAAAATGTGTCTAATATATTTCACTTCAATGATTGGTAGAGATCTCCCTAAACAATCTTTGTTTGACTTTTTGTCTTAGTGGAGAAATGGTATATAATTTCTGCCTAAAAAGTAGCAACTTTTGGCATTGATTTTATGAAATTTAGGGGAGATTTCTGTATTGTGATCTGTGGCAGCGTCAAGTCTTGGAAATTTCCGGGCATTGGCCCGAGAGATATTAAAAAAAACATCACAGAAATGGACAAACTCGAAAAGTATAACTCGTAGCCACCCTCGGGCAAACATCTGCATGTCTTTTTTTTTCAAAAATTTGCAAGTTTTTAATCTATTAGGCACCTTGGCGATTGTAGCTGGCGCGGCAGATCACAATACTGAAATAACCCGGAAATTTATACGCCCTAATTTACAGTAAATTTAATACTTTACTTGTTCTTCTAAAATTTATGTATCCAATAAATACTATTCAGCCATTTGGTCATTCATTCTTGGTAAAGAAATTTTAATAGCTTGTAATGCATTATGACATAGCTATGATGACTTTTTAAGGTAGGGAACCAAAATATACGCACAGAGGCAAATTTTATTAGATATTTAGCTTTTAAACTCCTTTCGAATGCTGTAATATGCCACATTTAGTTAAAGTAATTGATAAGATTCCAAATATGTTAGATAAACGTTAAAATGATTAACATCCTGTGACAAAATTTTAAACATAATTAACACATTCAAGAAACTATAATGAGAAAAAATAAACTATATTATAGAGTAAAGAACACACTTATTCAGAATAGCCTTATAAAATAGTTATTTTTTAGATTAATTTAATGAATCATAAAATACAGAGCTTAAAAACAATTTGAAAAATTGTAGAAATGAAATAAAAATTGGTCATAAAATTTCATTTATATTTCATTAAAGAACTCACGAAGCATTTATACATTACGAGAAAATAGAGGTATATCTAAACTACTTTAAAAATTTGTTTTGATTGAAGGAAGGTAGTAGAACAGTGCGACGAGAACTTGGTGTAAGCTTATAGCTTTAAATTTTCATTAACGAGGCTTATGGTTGAGGCTAGATAAACAGTGAACTTTTCATAAACGGAACAAAAATAGGTATATGTTTACTATTCATTGCAGTTTTATTTCATTTTATTTGTAAACAGTACGTACATTTCAGCGTGGTAAATAATTCACTGTTTCAAATTTGTAATTAATTCAAATTGTTCCTCCATTTTTTTAATTGAAATTATTCATCATGAAATTTGAAAGCAAAAGTGGTGGTCATCAAGTTGTGTATGTTGGTTACTGTTAAAAATTTTCCTGTATTATTTTTTTTTTTTGACAATGCATATGTGTTCTTTAATTTGTAATAATTTTTTCTAGGAAACCAAAGACAAGACCTGGGAAGCGCTTTCTTGAAAATCGTGAGCCGAAGTTAATTGAAAATGATAAGAAAGCAATTTTCATTCGAGGTGTTAACGCTAACAATGTTGCTCTTCAAGTATTGAAAGATCTCGTAAGTTATATATTTTTATTGATAAAAACAAACAGACGGCAGTCAGTGTACCGTGCTATTGGTAGAGCTGTCTCTTGTCAGGGTCGCCATCGAGTCAGGGTGCAAAAATTGCTTGAGCAATATAATTTCGTAGCAATTATTAACTAGTCCACAAATATATATTTATATAAAATCTGTTTTTTTATGTAGTTTTTAAATTTTGAGGGATCTGAGCACTGTTGCCAGGTGTCGATAACCTTTCACCCCCAGATGGCGTTATAAAATCCCCTAAAAAATTTTTTAAAAAAAATCAAAATTTTTAATTATTAAAAAACAGTACAAAAGTTAAATAATGTATAGGAAACGTTGCTTTAATACTTTGTGATATTTTATTATCAGCATCTTTTTTACATTTCAATCGTTACTAATCAATCTACTAATTTTTTTCAATACTTTTGACTCGCACATTTTTACATAAATATTTTATTATCAACGATATAGTCTTTTTAATATTCTAGTTCTGACATTATGCTTACATTTCTGATAAAATATCCTACATATTTTCTTCAATACTTTCTGATTTCTATATTCTGATTTCTATATGTTTTCACTGTTAAACATTTTTAACATAGAAGAAGTAGGTACAAAATTTTGACAACTATTAGAAAGTTCATATTGAGTCCACAAATTAGCAAGAGCTGTAGTAATAGACATTTTATATCTCAATTTGTCTTTAATAATATTTAATATGAAGAAACATCTCTCCACCGCTGCATTTTAAAACGGAATACTTAATAAGGCTAAAACAAGAGTCAAAACCTGTTTGAATTTTAAATTTCTGCATGAATTTTTAATTTTGCCGATTTTTTTCCATAATAATTCTGTAGAATTACAATTCAAATCATCTACACTCGAGAGTAAATCTCACTCAGCAATTGTTTCATCGATATCAATACAAATTGATGAAAATTTAGCAACAATATCTGTAATATTTGCCTTAACAAATTTACGTGTTGAATCCGGTGAAAACTTTTTTTATAGACTCTAATGTTTCAAAATTAGTTGGTATTCTGTTCTGAATTTCTTTGTACAATTTAACAACAAAATTTATGTATCTTTATTTAACATTAATCATTTTATGTAAATCATCGATTTTCGTATTCAACTGCTTTAAAAGTTACTTGTTAAGATTCGTTTTTGCACGATTTAAAAATTATTACTCGCAACTCCCATTAGCGCAATTTAAAAATTCAATATCGCGTGTATTTAAGTGTTTTTAAAACCCAATATCGCAATTTGTATTTAAACGTTTTTGAAACCCAATATAGCGATTCATATTCCCGCTAGTTTAAAATCCAATGTCGAGATTCATATATATTTTTAAATTTCAATATTGCGATTCGTTATCAGGCGGTTGTAATATCAAACATCGATTTTCGGATTTATACGCGGTTTAAACATTACTCGTTGCGATAAGTATTCACGGACTCTAAAAATTGTGCATCGTGATTCTTATTTACGCGATTTAAAAATCCAATACCGCGATTTGTATTTTCGTGCTTTTAAAATCTAATATCGTGATTCTTATTCACGTGATTTTAAAATTCAATATCGTGATTCTTATTCACGCTATTTTAAACTTGAACATCGCGATTCTTATTCACACGATTTTAAAATCAAACATTGTGGTTCTTATTCACGCGATTTTAAAATCCAACATCACGACTCTTATTCAAGTGATTTTAAAATCCAACATCGCGATTCTTTTTCACGCGATTTTGAAATCAAGCATCGCGATTCTTATTCACGCGATTTTGAAATCCAATATCGCGATTCTTAATCTAAGGCCTCTAAAAATTGTGTGAGAAATGAACTTTCTTGTCCTATTAACACTGATGATCAAAAGTCTGCAAAACGCAGTCTACAGATCAGTCATGTTTATAAAAGACCATCGAAAAAACAAAGAACTGATAAGAAAGTCCATAAAGGTCCTTTGACCATTAAAGAAATGTTTTTTAAAATGATGTGATACATAAAATCCTGCTTATGCATAATTACTCAAAGTTATCTAAATTATTAAAAAAAAATTATTTTAATCAAGATTTTATTTAAGAACATAATTACCATTTATTTATATTTATTTGAATAGATAATAATGTAATCATTATCAGATTGGCTATTGAATTCATATCATTTTTTCTTTTGCATGTTTAATGCTACAGTTATAAACTTCCTCTTTTTTGTGTTTTTGTCAATCACATTCCTGAAATACAATTTGTTTTTAGCGTCTTTATACATTGAATAGAGTTGCTTTGCAGTATAACATCTCTTTTTATCCGCAGCAATACCGAAATGTATTTTCAGAGGCTCCCATTGATCAAGAATGATTTTAATTTATTCTATTCGAGCTAGCCATCTAGTTTCAAATAACTTGGAAGTCTTAATAGGATCAGCGACTTCATTTAGCTTATAAACTTTTTTGTAATCCAGTTGTCTTTTTGTGCTGTTGGAAAACCAATTGTGAGTTTCACAAATTAAAAAATCAAGATTGGTTGACAGAACAGAAAATGCATGTTCAGCAGCAGGATGTAATGAATGACAATAATGACATATACATTTCACAATAAATGCATGAGGAACATCTTGAAGTAATCTTGTTGAAAATGAATTGCGAGAGCCCACCATGACATTCATTAGCACCGTCAATGCCCATTCCAAGCAAATTACTCAGTCGTAAATTTTTCCAATATTGTCTTGAAAGATATATTCATTGTTTCGGCTTCAATTTCAACAATTCAATAAAATGTTGTAATGACTTTACATTTTTTCTTGCTGAAGTAACGTATCATAATACCCATCACTTTCTTTGTTTTTATCATCAACTTTGAGAGAATAGTAAGATTCGCCAACATCATCAATCAAATCTTGAAACATACATAGGCTTATGACATTTATGAGTAAAGATAAGCATTTTGTACGATGGAGTTGATATTTTGAAGCATATCTGATTTGTCATCTTTATGAGCTCGTCTAAGTGATCCATGATTGAAATCGAACAATGCTCTGCTATAAAACAAGCAACTTTTAGTTCGGCAATTTTACGTCTATCGTCTATAGATTTCTTAGCAAACTGTGTAATTTTTGGAGTTAAGGAAACAGCTTCAGATTCTTCCATTTTTTTGCTGTGCTTGTCTGTTGCTGCATGATTTGCCAAATCTTTTTTATGTGCCTTTAGCTCAACTTTACAACATTTACAAAATACTAACTCACTTCTTCCAGTCACCGATGTCAACCACTCTGCAAAAATATATATATATAAGTTTTATTTGAAATAATGTGCTGATAATTAAATAAAAGGATGAACAATTGTACTATTAATTTACCGTTAAATTGCTTTTCGTGTTCCCAATCTTTCTTGTACTTTTGTACATACTTCTTTTTTTCTTTATCCTTTGGCATTATTTTTAAACCTTGCACATTAAAAATTTTAAATAATTTGAATTCAAATTCACTAAACGTACAGGTTGATCGAGCTAAGTAATAACTTACTGCATTTATCAAAGGGATTAAGTTCTAAAATTAAGTCTTTTTGTTTTGATTTAATATATTGATTTTTATATTACCATCTCACAGTTTTAGTTGTAAAATTTGATATTAGAACATAACCAAAATGAAACTAATAAAATTCACGAATAACCCCAAGACAAACCCCTAAAAACAAATTCCTCTAAAACACCCATTGAAGATAAAAAATCACCCTAAATTTGGGGGGGGGGAAACCCCTAATCTGGCAACACTGTATCTGAGTTCCTTCTCCCATGTGCACATATATTATTAAAAATGACTGTCTTCAAAACTGTTGGATAACAAGTTTTGTTGAAGCAAATGAAAATTAAATAATGCTTCTAACTTTTTACTGTGATTTTAAGTGTGAATTGCTTATTTAAAATTCATAAATAATTCATAATAAATATTTAAAATTCATTCTTAAATAAAAGATAGAAAGTCATTGTCATCAATTTTATGAGTTTATTCCCTTATTCTTTCTTTTAAAATTGTTATAAGATAAGATAAATTCACAATTTTGTAAATCAATGTAGACTAGGGGTGCGCAACCTTTTTGAGTGAAGGGCCACTTGCACAGCAGGTTGGCTAACGAAGGGCCGCACATGTATTTCGACATGTTAATGACAAATGTAGTAATGTTTATTTAAACCTTCTCTTTCTATTTTTTTTATCAATAAACTTAGTAATATATTTGTAAAAAATTAAAGGTGTTCCATTATTAGAATTCATTCAAAAGTAAAAAAACCTTAGCTTTTTTTTTTACCAAAAAAAATTTGCTATTTTTATCACATGAATAATAGATTTATCAAAATAAACAAAGAAAAGAAATGTTTTTTTTTTATCATATCATGCAATACGAAAATTCATTTTAGAATTAAATTCTAATAAATAAAAAAAAAATGCAATGCCCACAGAATGAAAGTAGGAAAAAATTTAGTCATAATTATGACTAAATTAGTCATAATTAACTAATTTAGTCATAATTAAGTAATATAAATTCAAATTAAATATTTTAATTGAAGAAAATTTGGTTTTAAACAAAATAGGTTTTAAACAAAAGCCTAAAATAAAAACAAAACTATGATAGTTTAAAATAAAATTCAATGCTTATTTTGTAATGTACTTTATTATTTCATTTTATTAATTATTAGATTTTTTTTTATCATAAACCTTTTTTTTTTATTTTTAATCGAAAACGATCACCACTTAAGCAACAAAAAATTGAAATCTTAACTACAAACAGTGAGCAGTTTAAAAATTCACATTTTCCTCCATTTTATGAATTTCTCAAGTTGCAATAACATTGCATTTAAATTAGGGATGTAATGAGTATTTGGCCCTTCTGTGAAAAATTCAGTTTGTTGAATGATCTGTCAAATATTCGGCAGAATATTTTTCAGAAATATATTTTTCTAAGTTTTTTTTTATTTTTGAATTTTTAGATATTACTTTTTTAAAAAAAATAAAAAAAATTATAATCAGATAAGTCAATTCTGTCATTTTTTCGATACTTTGAGAATTGAGAAGGATTTTTTTCCATTTTTCGCTGTTTTTATTATAACCCAGCATTTTAACAGAACGTCTCATACTATTAATTTATTATCACTCTTTCCCTGTACTGTAATATAAATAAACAGTAACATGGAAAAGTGTGATTTTCTGTATTAAAGTTTTATTTCAGGAACTAAGAAAAATTTGTTTTTTTCTGTTTTTCTTTTTTAAGGCATTTTTATTATGACAGCATTTTTTTTTTAAAAATAAAGTTACTAATAAAATTTATTTTATAGCCATTTTTTTTCTTCTAAAATTATGGCAATGAGAAAAATTTAAATTGAGATTTTCAGCGTAAGATTTTCATTTAAAAGATTAAGAACGTTTTTTCTAACTTTTTATTTTCTTTAAAGAAAAAAAACTTTTTTTAGGCGTTTTTATTATAACACAGTAATTTTTAATAGCATTTCTGTTGACTTAATTCTTTTTTCTTGGCTTTTTCTGGTAATTGGAAAACTGAGATGTTAAGCTTAAAAATTTTCTTCCAAAAATTAAGATTGATTTTTATGTTCTTTTGTTTCGCTTTGCGACATTTTCAAAAACCTTCTTGATTGGCCTTATTTTTTAGAGTTAATTTAGGAATACGTTTTTCCACATATTATTATTCTGAGCATTGAAATGTTAGTTTCAGTGTTTCTATGCTGCTAAAAGAGTTTGCTATTTGGCCCCAAGTGTACGGTGTTCAGTCGATTTTTTTTGTGCCGAATATTTGGTTTTTGACCAAATCACAATTCATTACCACATTCGACCAAATCATATTCGTTGCGGGAAAAAAAGAAGGAAAAATAACTAGGATTTACGATAAAACTGTACCGAAATACCGTATCAAAAAGTGATTATTTAATTGTGCGATTGACAATCACGTGTCTTAGTAACATCATAATCAAATAACGGGATCATCAAAATCATGTGGAAAAGTATAGAAATAATTGGGGGGGGGGAATTACTTATATTTATGCTGAACTCAGCATGAATAAAGCTTGTCAAATGCACAATTTAAAATTTGCATGTCGTTATAGAATAATTGAAATTTTTTGTAATACGTGGGAACGCATAGCAATAACTGCCGAAAAAAAATTTTGAAAAAAGAATAGCAAAAAAAAAAGATAAAAAATCACTTAGATTTAAGATTAAATTGTCACAAATAAAGTGCACCAAAAAGTTATTATTTAAATGGGTGATCTGAAACTCGCGTCGTAATAAAAATTAGGGATTTTCGATATCACGTAAAAAAGCGGAAATAACTGTTTTAAAAAAAAACCTTTATATTTACGATAAAATCGGCTTAAAGAAAGCGCATTAAACGTACATTTACTAAAGAATCTGTTAAAATTGATTGCGTCAACACGTGATGACTTAAAAGTGCAATTAAAGATTGCCATTTTTAAAATTTTTTTTAATTGTGTTTAGAAGCTCTCGCGGGCCGCACTTCAGTAGTCGAAGGGCCGCATTTGGCCCGCGGGCCGCAGGTTGTGCACCCCTAATGTAGACCATTTGTTTTATATATTTAAATAAGAATATATTGGTATGACTTATACTGGCATTAAATATGGCTGACTTAATATGTAATACAAATTGATTGACCCTCCGCGTACGTCCCCCACTATGGGTCACGTGAAAATCTCGGGCGAAGACATTTTCCCCCTGATTTCAATACGGATCCCGCCATTTCCCCGTGTACGACCATCATCTGATGCTTATTTTCGCTACTAGGTGGCACTAGAGGATTCGGGAATTTCGCAAGTTATATAGAAAAATTCGTAGAAGGAAGATAATAACGCCTACTTTTTAATATAGTAACCAGTAGATTGATGCTTTAACGTTGCATTTCATATCATACTTATAATTTTTGATATTTAGTGGTGAAAAAATTACTTAAAATGAAAAGTGCTAAACTAAAAGTAACTTAAAAATCGCCCCGTATTTCAGGACTGGAAAGTATAAAAACTGAACCGAACGCGGAGGGTTAACATGCTGTATAGAATATGTATTTTCAGTTACACTAGTCAATCATTATTCAATAAACTAGTGTAATGTGTTTTTAGCCTAACAAAATTTTAAAAGCCCCTAAAAGTTTTGAATAATTTTCCTCAAAATCAGGGCTAAAGTGTAAATAGAAGGTCACTCTTTCTTATCTAATTTCAAGTCAAATATCACCAGCAAGTATTATTATAAAACACAAAAAGGGAAAGGTAATTTTCCGTGCTTTACTTCAGAAAATATAAAGATGACATCAAATCAATTATACTAAAAGAATTTCTGTGAATAAAAGCATTATGTTTTTGTTTAGATGTTTAAGAACTTATGTTAGAATTCCGCCAGTAAAATCATTACAGTCTCGTAACTTTGAACAAAAAAGAATTAGAAAATATATTAGGTCAAAGAAAGTAAAATCTTGAACTTCAAATAAATGCTTAATTCTTCCAATATCATAATGTGTTTTTTAATATCATTATTCGAAATATTTATGTGTTTTAATTATAACACCTTTTTTTTTAAAATATTTATGAGCAAGTGTAATAGTATTTCCATTATTATCTGCCCGGATTATATTTTTTTAGCAATTAGTTTTCAAGGTTTTTGTTTCCTAGTGATAATGTATTAAAAAATTGCTGTTATGTATACATTAAAATTAGGCATCCCAATTAATAAACTGTTGTTATCAGACAATATGTAGCTATAAAAGTGCCTTCATATGCTTTCTTTTATTTAACAGCAAAAGTTAAAAACTAAAATAAAATAATAACGACAACTGTTAAGAAATTTTTCTGACTAAATATTTTATTTTTTTTAATACTATAAGAAAATCTATGAATGTTGTATTTTTGAACAAAAATAATTTGTTAGCAGTGTAAAGTTTGACTGCTATTATCAGAAAAGTATTGAACATTCAATTCATTTCTTACAGAAAGTGAAAACGACAATGTTTTCACATACTTTTGTTGCGTTTTTTTTAAAAATTTTTTTATCTATGTGCGTCGTGAGGAGAGAATCATAGCTTAAGCTTTAATTAAGGACTGAACCAGCCTTTCTCTCTTTTTAAGTAAGTCTCTTAAGTCTCCCTGCCTTAAAGTACTTTAAAATTTTAAAAAATATATATAGTTGCTGCCTTTAAATTTTCTTACTTAATTAAAAAGGGTGTTTAAATAAGTATATGATGGAATAACAAACGGAACATGATGGAATGGCAAAATGTTCAACTCTGTAGTCTTGTAATTTTTAACCAATCCAGAAGGCAAGGAAACTCCTGTATCAGTACCCCCAGAGGTATGATTTGTTCTAGGAACATGTAGAACTCGACAGATTTAACATGCATTAGTCACCATTTTCTACACGGGGAGTCTTCAGCCGGCAGGGATCACGATAATTGTTTTAGTGCTATAAACTGTTTTCAATAAACATTAAATAATAGCAAATTAAGATGTGTTATTATTTCTTAATACACTCCTAAATCTTGAAAACCAGTTAAAAATCTGTTGAACCCTGAAAAAATCTTTTAGAAGTCTGTGGGTTGGACTTTTCTTTAAAAAATATGCAATAGTTTTTACAATCTTCTTGGCTTTTTTTTTATTTTAGAATCTTAAACATATTTGTTATTTATTATATTTTATTAAAAAAAAGTTGAATGTTTATTTATGTTCATTTTTCAAAAAAAGTTGGTATCTGATGTAGGTAATTAAGATGTTTCCCTTATAGAATAAAATTTTGTTTTATTTACGACATACTTAAGTTATTTTAAATGTGTATTTGAGTAGTTACTTTTTATTGTTGTAATAACTGGAATGATATACTTGTTAACTAATTCTTCAATTTATTTGCATTTTAGTCTATGTTGAAAAAGCCTCATACAGTGTTTTATAACAAGTAAGTTATGTTTCTTTTTTTTTTATTAGTGTAATTGTTGTAAGACTTGATTCACATTGCAGTTTTTTTTTTCCTCTTGATTTTTATTTTTCTTCTTTTAGAAAAAACGATCTAAAACCATTTGAAGATGCAACTCCTTTGGTATGTTGTATTGTAACATATTTTTTTCTTTCGTATTTATCTATATACAATTATTGAAATGCAATATTATTGTACGCAGAGTAATTATTTTTTTAAGTGTAAGTTAGTTTTGCTCATAAGTTAATTTATAAGTAAATTTGCTAAAAGTTAAAATGCTTTTAAAAGCTCATTGTAAAGCTGTAACGAAATGTAATTTGACCATCATCTATATACTGAATATTCGGCCATCACCTTTTATGGCAGCCTAAAAGAGAACTTAATTTTTTAAGAACTTTAATTATTGCATTATTCTTATGTATTATTTTGTAATATAATTATAAATGTATTACAGTGCTATAGATAAATGTATTACAGTGCGAACCCTGCTATAGTGTACCGTGATTGAAAATTAAGTTTGTACAGGTTGAAAAAAGTACTTGTGTAGCTAAAAATTAGTTTTAATTTCTCCTTTTATGAAAAAAAATTGTGATTTTTGATTGAACACAATTTGATTTTAAATAGAGTTCATCAATTTTCTTATCTAAAATGTGCTAAAAATGAAAGATTTTTTGATCTACATTTTCTGTAGAAAAAAACGTATTGAGGACATTTATGGCTGATCTTACTTCAGCTATATATGGTGCTGAAAGTTCATTTTTTTTCTTCAATATTTTCTTCTAATAAGTCTTCTCTACCTTCGTTTGTTTGTTTTATTTCACTGACAATGTCATCATCGGTTGGAGTACCAGAAGTACAACATTCAAATTGCTCAATAACGTCCTTAGGAAAAATATCCATTCCCTGTTTTTTTAGCCATAGAGAGATAGGTAAATTTTCTTCTTCCTCCACATTGGAATCTTTTACTTTAAGACCCTTTGAAGGACCTGCATGTCGGAAACAGTTACGAATTGTAGCTGATGTTACTTGCCTCCATGATTTTTATAGCAAAAATATTGCTTTTAGAAGAAAAATGTTGCATTCTGAATCCATGTTTGTTTTTTTTCATAGTTATCTAAAATACTCATAACTAATTGTCTCCTATAGTGAGACACCTGAATAACACCCTGGTCTACACAGAAATCTTATTTGGTGGTAAAAATATGAGCTTAATACACTTTAGTCTTTCTAAATGGGGGTGAGCTGTGCAATTGTCTTCAAGAAAAACAATTTTACGATTTACTTTTTATAAATCACTGTCCCACTGTTGAAGTTCTTCAAAAAAAGTTTTGATTAACTTCTTTTTGATTGGCTTTGTAGTTAACAGGCAGTTTTTAAAAAAATTTTAAAGCACCTCGGTTTTTGAGATTTACCTATGACAGTTTTCCACTTTTCCTACCCTTCATCTTTGCACAAACAAGAATTGTTATTCTCACTTTGGAGAGTTTACCATTAGTGCATTTTTCTCCTTTAAATTAATGTCTGATTGAAAATCAATTTGTAACATAGTCCAGCTTCGTCATAGTTAAAAATGTCTTTCCCTTCATAATTCTGTATAATATTCGGCCACATTTCTGTTTTCCCCTTTTCCACATTCGTTGCATCAACACTTTCTTCTTCTGCAATAGTCTTTCCTGAAGAAATATTATTCCGTTTTTTATTTTTAAATCTGTCCAGCCATCCATTGGAGTACACTGTATCCTTTTCCTCTAACTTTTCAGCTAACTCATTCGCTTTAATTTGAAGCATAGGTCCTGCTGAGTACAGGGGTGTGATTCTTCCGTGGATTTCTGATTTTTCCATTTTTTTCCGCTAATTTCTGCAGAAAAAATTTTTTGATCAAGTTAAAATATTTCATGAGGAATTTAATTTTCCGGCGAAAGTATTGAAGTCCTCATTCCCCTCTCTGAAGTTTCTCTAAAAATCATTTCTTTGGGATAAAACTGGTTGATCTTTATACAGGGATGCGATTTTTTCGCTTTTACCTCTCGAATTTCAGCCATTTCATCAAGAACTCCAATTCTCTAAAAAAATAATTTTTTTTTTATATATATATATAAATATCTCTCTTTTTTGTGAAAATTCAGTCGTTCAAATAAAATAATTATATTTATTTACGATTTTCAAAGATAAACAGAAAGTTTAAACTACGTCCTAGCTGCTAACCCCTCCACATTTTTATTTATCTTAGCTATTTTCTCCGCTTTTACGCACAGAAAATAAGATTTTCCGTATTTTTATCCATCCGCCGGATAGCTCGTATTTTCACAATTCAGACGTCGCTGCTTCCTGTATTCTGGCGTAAAAGCAAACGGAAAAAAAATACAGATAGATTTGCGGTGAAAATATTTATTTGTTCATTCAATTAATCTTGTAAATTTTTGTTTATTATGTCTGAACAAAAACAATACAAACAAGCCTTTTAGGAATCTCAAGTCCTGACTCTGCAAATATCTCGATTTTTATTCACGCGATTTTAATATCAATCATCGATTTTCGTATTTACCTGATTTAAAAGTTGCGCATTGTGATTCTTATTTACGCTATTTAAATATCGTACATTATAATTCTTATTTACGAGATTTAAAAATCCTATATTGTGTTTGTATTTATGCATTTTTAAAATCGCCATTTTATTATCAAGCATCGATTTTCGTATTAACCTGATTTGAAAGTTGAACGTTGCGATTCTTATTTAGGCGTGCATTGTGATTCTTATTTATGAGATTTAAAAATCCAATATCGCTATTTGTATTTACGTGCTTTTAAAACCCTATGTAGCTATTCGTATTCGCACGATCTTAAAATCCAGTGTCGTTATTCGTTTTTGCTGTTGTAATATCAAACATCGATTTTCGTATTTATATGTGCTTTAAAAATTAGACATTGGGATTCGTATTCGCACGATTTAAAAATTATGCAGCGTGATTCGTATTAACGTGATCTAAAAATTACACATCATGATTTGTATTTTTTAAATTCGATATAGAGTTTCATATTCACGCGATTTAAAAGCCTCATATCGGGATTCATATTCTCTCAATTTAAAATCGGGCATGTGATTCATATTCATACAATTTTAAAATTAATCATCGGGATTTAAAACACATGGTTTCCAGGTTTAAAAATCACACTTTTTTTGTCAAATTTTTGTGTATATATAATGTATATTCATTCTTAGATTTCCTCTTTTTTACTTTCTGACTACTCTCATCCCTGTGAGTAGTGAACCATTTTAACAAAGCTTCTTCTGCAATCTCTCTTTCAGCTCAACATAGTTTTTTCAACGAAACCATGCGGCAAGAATTGCACTTCGATTTTTCCAAATGTTTGAAACTGTAGATTTTGACTAGGAAAATTCCTTACACAGTGCCGATTGTTTGGTTCCGTCTTCAATATGTTTTACAATTTTAACCTTGTCTTCTATCGAAAATGCTTTCCTCTTTAGAGAATTTGCCACTACCTTTGGAATAAAAATCTTGTCTCAAATAGATGATGTGAGAAATGGAATAGAGCAGCTGTAGAACGAGTTAAATTGTTCCCCTTCTTGATTGTCGAAGGATGATTTGTAAAGAATATGGTTTGAACAGATCAGAGATTTCCAAAAATTCAGCAGGTGGCCAAACTAACTAGTTGTAGAGCAAGCTTGGGGAAAAGGGACAAAGAGAGGATTGTCAGGGAGGTGGGAGTATATGATAAATGTTCTGTTTAACATTTATTACAGTATAGTTAAAAGTGATAAGCATAAAGGAGTGAAATATGACACATTGTATAGGGATGCATTAATTTTCAGTCCCAACACCTGCAAGTTTAAAGATTAAGGACTGAAAAAGATATTTAGAGAAATGAAATTTGAGTCCACTATAACCGAATTTCCAAGTTCTCAGCTGTTCACTATAAGCGTTAAAAATAACATTATTTAAATAGGAGTATGGACGAAAAGTTCACTGCATCCGAGTGTTCACTATAGTGTGGTTCGATTATATTTTGTAAAAAGAAAAGTAATTTTGGTGGTGAATTTTAAACGCATGAGATAAAAAGTCTGAAGTCAATAATTAGAATCATTATTTCTTAATAAAGGTTTTGATATATGTATTGAAAGAAAATAATTTAAAAAGCATCTAAAAGGTATATATATATATTTTTTATAGATTGATTAATTTCATGTAACAAATCGGCACAAAACCATGTTTAAATTGAATTAGAATTAGCTAATGAAGCAGAACTGCTTAGCTAGTGAGACAGAACAGAAAATATTCATGACTGTCAGAAAAACTTCGCTGGCCACTGTAAGATTTGAGATTGTAGTAAAATTCACCTTGAAATACTTATGTATTTTTTTACTATACAGCCCTTCATAATTGAAATTAAGATTTTTAATATGTAATGTTTTGTGGTGAAAAGAAATTAATAGTGCATATGAAATAAGACAAGAGTATAGAGCTCATAAAATAAGTACAAAAGATAGAGAAAACATGAAAAATATATTTTGTACTATATATATATATATATCTATAGCATAATAAATAAATACAATTGTAGGAAGTTAGTTTTTCTGGAAATAGTTACTATAATAAGCTTTGCAACAAAACAATAACAGGGATGATTGTATTCCAGGTTTTCCAAATCATGTGATTATTTTGCGTAATGACACTATCTCAAGACCGTTGTTTTACAGGCTTCCACAAATCAAACTTTCATTTCAAAACTTTCGCTTAATCCCATAACAAAGCTTTTACTCCACGTGTTATAATTATCCTCTTTTTTTCTTACCTCGTTTATGTGAGATGATTTTTTTTTATTTATCCTACTTAATAAGTGAACAGCTATGAATTTATCGAATGTGTTTAATGTATAACATTGATAGTATAAAAAGTATAGATAATTCCAAAACTGAGAATATCTTAAAAATTGCACTCTTCAAAAGTAGCTCTTTTTCTAATTGTTTTTTATTATATTTAAATAAATAAAAAAATTGGAAATAATGAAAATTACAGTCTAATTGGTTTAATAAATTTTGGTACTAATATAAATAATATGAATATATATACACACTGATGGAAGAACCAAATCCCAATACCAAAAAAAATTGTCGACTAATTAAATTTCGGCAATGCATTCGTCTAAGTAGCATATTTAATTGATTTATGTTACATCACAAGTTAATGCAATTAAGAGAAAAGCCCTTTCGAATGTGAAATACTGGTACGTTCATAACCGGTTGTGGGTGACACTAAAGTTGTTCTGAAGTTTACTAATTCTTACATGATAAAAAAGTAGAGTAGTTAATAAAACATGGATATGATTGATTTAATGTAAGATTTAGGTAAAACTTCTGTAAACAATAAATTCTGTCATATTCTTGTTTTTTATCTAGGTTATTTAAATTTTGTTAGCTGTGAGATTTTAAAGTGAGTCAAATAGAAAGTGGAGGAATTATTATGTCAGTATTTTAGTAAAATTATTTAGAGGAAATGGCATTTTAATTTTGTCTTACTGTTCCTACATCCAAATTTTATTGACTTGATGTTTCATTAAATTAATTTGCAGGAAGGCTTTTGTAAGAAATCTGATGCCTCTCATTTTATGTTTGGGTCTCACAATAAGAAGAGGCCGAACAACATGGTAGCTGGAAGGATGTTTGATCACCAAGTGCTCGACATGTTTGAGTTTGGTATTGAAGATTACAAATCATTGAAAGATTTTAAAGTAAGACATGCAATAAAAGCTTATTATAGTTAATATCTTTTATGCACTTAAGAGCTTGAAAAGCTGCCAGAATTATATTGATATATAATTAGTTACATCCTATAATTTTTTAGAAGTAAACTCCATATATACTTCACTCAGTAATTTTTTTTTTTTAAGTAGAAAGAATTGACAGCATTGATATTTATCAGTCAGAATAATTAGTATGATTTTTCAAAAAGATAATTAATGTTAAATTTAAATGATCTTTTATTATTTTGTGCAAATATTGACTATAGTAGGTAAAAAAATTGCATTAGTTTCATTTTCTTAGATTATAATTTTCTGAATATTACTTTTATTTATTCATTAATTTTTCTGGTACATATAATCTTTCTTTATTGATATTATTATTGAAAAAATATTTTTTCTTTAATTTTTTTGCATTGTGTTTTAATTTGTAACTTGCTCGTTGTTTTGAGATTTTTTGACCAATTTCTGTTTTCCTTTTAATTTTGATATTTAACAAGAAGTGTGTGTAGTTTAGTGTTTGAATAGCTTCCTCCACAATAACTATATTCTAAACACATTTTCAGACAGCAAAGGTAGCTACAGGCAATAAACCCATGCTTTTGTTCACTGAAGGATTTGATCAGAAACCTGAATTTAAACGAATAAAGAATTTCTTTATTGGTAAGTTTTTTTTTTTTTAGCCAATCAAGAATTATATGTTTCTAATCAGTTGTTTGGAAGTTCTAGATTACAAATTACCTTATGGTAGTCAAGAAGAAAATTAAAGTTTTTTTTTTGTTCATTTATTTATTATTAATTTTAAAATAAGTATTCACTCTAGTATTTATTTTTGGTTTGACCAAGCTCACTGAGTGACAGCTAAAACTAGTCTTTTAGTTGTCTAGTATTAAATCTTTTCATTAAAATTTAAGGCAAAATATAAACTAAAGATATATTACATATTAAGCTGATTTAATAGCTTGAAATCCTTTACATCAGCCATGGGTGCAAGTCTTCCGTCCCCAGGACGGATTTCCGTCTTTCGAAAATGTCCGCGGACGGAATCAAGACTGACTCGAAGACGGAAATCGGAATTTATTTTTTCTGTCCTTAAAAATACTTTTTAGGTCTACGTTATTGGTCTACTTTCTTATGTCCTGTTGTTATTTTATTAAAAGACATGAATAAATATTTTTTGTACAGTATTTAAACCAAGGATGAAAGACTTCCGCGAAAAAGCGGAAATCCACTTTTTTTTTCTTCCCAATTTTGAAAATTTCCGACCATGTTCCAAAAACTAAAATTTTTGGGAAGTCCTATTGGAGAAACCCAAGCCGCCCGAACGATAGTCGGATTACCGCGACTTCTGCTATAGAGTGGAAAGGAGTCTAAGCGTTTCGTT